TTAAACAGCTGTTCGTATTGGCAGAGTGCATGAATTCACATGTTCGACGCAAGTCATGTAGTAGCGCCCATGGCAGGTGTAGTTTCGGGTGCGGCGTCTCCGCGCGGCTGCCAAAGATGGTACGTACAGGCACGGTCTGAATGGCCGAGCCGAGCGGAACAGTGCAGACCAATCGCGCAACGTGTACCAGCTGCTGTCGGGCTTGAGAATCTATCACCGGATGGCCGGTAGAGTCATTACCTACTGTGTGTGAATGATCACCGCTCGTCCCGGTATACCTCCCCTGGGCTGTTCGTCGTATACCGAGAAATACCGATTGTTGCGCTTTTCTTGGCCGGGCTCCCCACTGCATAGTTTCCCAGGACTGTGCCTCGTATACCGATGGTTGCCGAGAGCGGACTTCATAACCAGAACCATGATATTCAGAAATTAGATCGGAAATCAAGTTCGTCATGACCGCGGAGTGACGGTCGTCGTATCATCAGCTATGTCCAAATTTTGAGATCAGTGATTGCGCCGTTCGGATTGGCGTATCTGGCCCTTGGCGACGCGCAACAGAGAGACTGTGAATTAATACAGAGTAAAATATCGCACAAAGAGCAAAATAAACGACGTAACTACGCAAACAAGCAGGGCATCGTACAATAGGAGGCCGAGGGGGTAATCTACATTCGTACTCATTCAGATGTGTCCATGTCCTGTCCCTCTGCGGTGCCGTTGGGTAAGTTCACCTTGCCCATTTCCGAGTCATTACCGGCCAGTACCGAGCTATCGGCATCGCCACTTGTATCGAACCCTTTGCCGTGGACCCCGCCTCCTCGCGCTGTTCCCGGCTGGTGTCGGTGTCGGGGTCGCCTTCCGCGTCAGGGTCTGTGTCCTCGGGCCGTCGACAACGTCGTTGCCATCCTTAGAGGCGGCGGCCTGGGCATCATCAGCAGTGGAGGCGTCAGCGGCTTGCGTTGTTGTGCCATCGCGATCCTGAGCCTTGTCGCCGTCGGTATTACCAACCATTGCCGTTCCGTCGATCGAATCGTCCATCTCCTCGTCCCCCTGAAGAGCGGAGGGCGTGCCTGCGGTACTGATATGGACAGCAATAGTGGCGGCAGGAGTACGAGGGGAGGGGGAGACGGTGCGCTGAGTGGCATCAGGGGTGGAGTCGGTGACGGGTGCCGTGAGCTGTGGCTCGGCAGTGGTTGGGGCAGATGCGTCGGTCGTAGGAGGCAATACCGGGAGGGCTGACTTCGTGACGCTGTTGGGCGCAGCCAATATGTCAATCGGCGTAGAGTGCCACATTGGCAGCGGGAGTGGCCCATCACTACCGGGGACACTACCGGTCTGCGGTAACGACCCGAGGGTGTTGTTCCCGACGCTTCCGCTTCCCCTGGCAGTGGACTCGGCATTTGCAACCCCGATCGGCATTGGAATCCGAGACCAGTCCATGTTCAACGGAGGATCGACGCGCTGCAAAGGATCTATGAAGTATTAGCGCAAGTGGGTAATGAGTGAAGTTAGACAAGGTCACATACCGGCAGGGGAAGCGGACTGCAACACCTCATGGGGGATGTAGTGGTGACTGTGCCCTGAAGGGCCGGCGATCGGAGCTTGTGGGTTGTAGTAACCCTGGCCCGCGTTATTACCGTAAGCGTCACCTCCGTGACCAGGGAACTGAGCATTGTACGGATGGTACGGGTTCACTGCCGGAGGCTTATTAGTTATTGCCGGGTGGACATGAATACCGGACGTACTGCTCGGTATTGGGGGCCAGATGAAGGGCCCGCCTTAGAAACCAGTCTGGTTTTGAGCTGCGAAATGATTTAGTTGGCATGCAGATATGAATAGAAAGTAGAATGTACCATTGAAGACGGCGGCATTGAGGGTTGCAATTTGTTGCACCATCTCACCCATCTGCTGTTGCATCGCTCGCATGGTCGCGTGAATGTCGGGAAGAGGTGCGTGGGGGTCTGGGCGGAAATTGTGCATAGGGTCGACTGGAATGCGAGTCGTCAACGGAATGTTTAGGAAGTTGAAACCTGGCACACTATAAGCCGACGCCAGGTTGCGAGTATCAGGACGTACCAGGAGGGGGAGGCAGCAGGTTCCGGGGGTCCAATGCCAGCGAAGGTGGACGGATCCGGGGCTGCGTTTGGAGAAGTGACTTAGCCCGTCCACTTATGCGCCTCTTCTTGGCCGGTGGCTCCGAAGAGTTACGGTGACCTATGGCGGATGTGTTAGTACCGAGCTATCTGTGTGTAGATAATCGCGATCCCGGTATTCAATGTGTGCGATCCGACGACTAACTCACCGTCTTCGTCGTCGCTATTGTCGTTGTCGTTGTCGTTGTCGTTGTTGTTGTCGCTCGCGTCGTCTTCGTCGCTCTCGTTGCCTTGTTGACACACCACTAAAAAGAAAATTGGCATAAGCACCAACTACCGACCGCTGACTACCGACGGCCGACTGCCGAAGGCGATGGCGCCCAGTACTCACCGGTAACATCTGGCTTTACAGCCCTGCCGGACCTTCTTGTCCTGCGAGGTTTTGGGTAGTCCTCGGAATCCTGAGCGAGGATAAGCAGATGTTACAATGAATACCAAGATTGTGCGTACCGGATTCACCTCCTCGTCACCAGCGACCCTCTGAATCGGGGTCTTCCATTCCTCCACGTGCAAATTGAGGTGGTACTTCGGGTCGCTGATCATCATCTGCCGCGTCGCCTCTGGTAGCTCGTAGAAGTCCTAGTACCAGTCGAAGTACCAGTCGACGAGCCCCGAGTCCTGGAGACCTAACAAGAGACGGGAGAGCATTACCGGGTCAGGATACATCGCTGGGTTTGCCAACTGAACGAAGGCCCGGTATGAGCGGTATGACGCAGCACCAAGTTTACCGTGCCCGATGGGCGAGAGGTCACAGGCCGCTTTCTTGACGCGGCACCCATGGCAGTACGACCCGTCGAAGATGAATATCCGGCAGTCGGTACCACCGGTCTTGCACCGCTCACACCGGAGGTGCGCATTGGGCTGGTGTGTACATGGTAAGCATAGTTGTGTATGAGACGAAGCATCTCGTACACTTACCCCGTTCTTTTGAATCACGTAAATCGGGATGCGGCCTTTGCGGTTGGGGAATGGCTCGAAGTTCTTCTCGGGGGCGACATGGTCAGGGTGAGCGGGTCGATTTACTCGCCTGACTGCCTTCTTGGGGGTCTTGTCCCCACCACTGCCGGACACCCTCTTCTCGCCATCATCGGTAGTCGTCCCAGCAGTCCGCTTCGGGTCACGACTCCTCGCCCTCTTCTTCGGCGTCGACGCCGTCTTCTTGGGCGGCTCCGGGGCCACCGATGAGGCCCGCCTTCTCTTGGACACGGGTGGCATGGTGGGGGTGACGAAAGACACCGCCTTCTTGGCGGCCGAGCGTGTCTTTCGTACCTCTGAGCGAAGGTTAGAAAATAGGTGTGGCTATGAAAACCGACGACCACTGCACCTTTCAAAGGCTCCCCTTCACCTTTCTCACTGACGTCCTCATCGGGATTGTCGTCGTCTACGTCGGTGGTCGCCTCCACAGTTGCGCGACCCTTTCCCTTGTCACGTCTGGTGGCCTGACGGCCGTTGCTGTATATACATTGTCAGCGTGATTGTAAAGAAACGTCAAGATGATATCGCAAAAGAAGAGGTAGGACGCAATAGGAACGTACTCAGCCTTCGCAGTGCCTTTCACCACCGGGGGCACGGTGATGGTGCCAGCCTTCTTCGAAGTGCTAGCGGTCTTCGCGCTGCCGGAAGTCTTAGACGTACCGGCAGTCCTCGCAATGCCGGAAGTCTTCACAGTACCGGCGTTCGCACCGCCGGTAGTCTGGGTGGTGCCGGCAGTCGTCGCACCAAAAGCGGGCGACTTGTCAGAACCTATACATTGGTGTTCAGGATCAGCGACATAGGCGTCAAAACGTTACCGGAATAACATACCATCGCCGGTGGCATGTTCGTGGTTTGTTGTGGCCGCCTTCGTAGATGTGGCCCCTGCACAAGCGGGTAATGAGAGAGTATAACAATGCAGCCAAGAACAGGATACTCACTGCGGTAGTACCACTGATTGACGTCCTCTTCCGGAACGAGGTGGATCTCACCGCGGTCATTACCGACCATCTCCAAGTCGAAGCCATAGCCAGCACGATTGGCTTCCTCGGTGTCGGCAATGCGGACCACCTTGAATGGCGAGGCCCTGTATCCTTTGATGCGTCGGGCCTTTTCGAACTCATAAAAGGCGCCAAGGGTGTAGCGCGGCCAAACATTGGATTTGAACTCGTCCTGGTAGTTGTAGACAATGTTGAGGGTCTTGTAAAAGTTGTCCTCCCACTCCTTGATTTTCTCCGCCGGTGTGGTGGTTGGGTCGGGGCGGTGTGGCATCGCGTAGTGGATCTCGGTAACGGTATGGCAGACCTTCAGAAGGGCGCTCTCAGATGCGTGGGTAGACATGTTCGGTGGTGGGAGAATGCGGGGAGTGCGGTGATGAGCAGGGAGGCGTGTTCGGAAGTTGGTTGGAAGTGGGAGAGTGACAGAGCAGACGCCACGTCATTCAGCCCGCTGGTTGATCGCCTAAAATTGTTGGAGATCTGTATCGGGATCAAGCCCGGTGCTAGCCCACTGCCGCCGCTCCAACCAAACCTAATTCACCCACTCTTCCTCAGTCCCACGGTTTCAACATTCCCCACTGTCTCAGCACCTCCACTGCCACTGACACAATGAAGTACAACCTCCGAATCCTAGGTGATGTTTATTCATAAATTGTTGCGAAGCCGTTCTAATCGCCCAGGTTTTGTAGTTCCATCGCCGACCAACCGTGCGTTTCGGTGATGCTGCGTGGCACACCTGTCCTGACACTGATTACAGAGACCGAAAGTAACCATAAATATCGACACATCCCCGATGTTTCATTCACAGACTGGGAGGCCAAAACGGCTCCCAAAAAACTAATTCAGCTTCTGATTCCCTCCGTGGCTGTAACTGTATATGACCTCGTCAAGCGTGAGTTCTGCTCCGAAGTGGCTCCACGAACTTGGTCCGCCGGCAGCCCTCTCTCGTACTCAGCCGAACCACCGGTCTCCACCGAAGAGCTCCCCCCTTGGGTTTTCTACGTTGACCACTACTCTGCTCATACATCTGTCCCATTGCCGAAGGCGCAGGACTTCCGGGCATTGCCAAGCACATTTCGCTCAGTAATTCACCCCAGTGATCATCGCACGCGACTACCGCTGTGGCTCGTTGACCTATGGCGACAATTGCGCGACATTGACACGCACCGGCGCAACATCGTGTCTGGACTACATTGGCTGCACAGATTCCAAGAACAGAATGACCTCGACTACAACATTTTTGGAGAAGCCATCTGGCCCATCTTCCTGCGCCCGGCTTTGTTGCATCCATGGTGCGATATTTTCACATCCCTCATTACCGACCACCGCGACATCAACGACGAGGTCATGGATGCGGCAACAGCGGTCGCGAAATTCAAAGCTGACGCTCTGGGTGGAACACAACATTATTACTCCTCCCTCATTTCCCAGCTCCAGCCCGTGGATCTTGTCGACCTGTTCAGCAAACGCGCGGCTCAAGGTGACTTTACCGTGGACAGTATCATCTACATCCCATGGATTCTAGGCGACCACTGGATCTTCGCCATCATCAACATCCCCGGTCGTGATATATGCATCGGTGACACCACTCACCAGAGCGACCATGATGGCCAGCTTGAAGTCGCCAAGCGAACGATGAGCCGAATCGCTCATGCGGTAGAAGCGTCGGTCAGCCAGACTCGCACGGACTGGTATGTCCAGGAATACAAGTTTCGCTGTGGGATTCAGGACACCCCCTTCCCTTCCGGTGTTGCCATTGCCGTGACTCTGGTGGGGGCTGTGGTTGATGAGGCGAAGCCAATGTCATCCGAACACGAGGATTCACACCGGATCGCTGTATTCTTCGAGATCCTAGAAAACCTCCCCACAGTATGCGCCCTCTGCAATATGTTTTTGACATTTCTGATGGTCTATTTTGCAGAAACATGTCGATCCCAACAGCTACCAGAAGAGTGTTTGGGAGTTGGAAGACGACCGTGATGTTTCGTCATTACCGCCCTCTACTGGCGTTGCCCCCCCCCGGTTGCCGGTCCTTACCGAACCACTCACAGTCCCCTCGACGTGTCCAGCATCACCACCGAGTCGGTCCGCTTCACCACCGGCGTTCACTCGCCAACTGGCACGTCCGCGGACGCTGGACTCCCACCCAACGGCAGTGAATGCGGCAACCCCACCACCTGCCTTCGTGCGGGCAGTTGCCCGTCCGGTCTCCCCTTCCTCCTCGTCCCCACCAGCATTCGCACGGAGGCTCTCTACCTGGTCCTCTTCACCACCGGCGTTCACCCGCCAACTTGCGCATCCGCCAACGCCTGACTCCCGCTTGACGGCAGTGAATGCACCACCGACGCGGTCGCCTTCACCTCCTGTGTTCACCTGCCAGCTCGCACGTCCGCCAACACCGGAATGCCGCCAATCGGTATTGAATGGGAAAACTTCACCACCGGCCTTCGTGCGGGCAGTTGCCCGTCCCTCCTCCCCTCCCTCCTCCACACCGGCATTCACTCGGGGGCTCGCTCTCCCATCCTCGTCCTCGACCAATCCGCAGACGTGGAAGTGGTACGAAGGCTCAATGGCAGAGTATATGCGCTGATGTGCAGTCAACTCCGCGAAGAGTCAACAGTGATGAGGGCGAGTGAGCGAGCTCGTGCAAGCGTGAGACACGGGAAGTCGAGGAGGAAAGGAAGGGAACAGCTACGACGCGCTGCGTGAGGAGCGAACGCGAAGGGAGGACGGATCGGGGGATCGCGCGAGCGCGAGGAGGACGATGTGAGAATAGACGCGGAATGAATAGACGAGATCGCTCGCACGTGCGGCGCTGGCGAAGGCGAAGGGAGTCGAAGTCGTGGGCGAGAGCGTGGGCGAGAGCGTGGGCGTGGGCGTGGGCGAAGTCGAAGTCGAAGGCGAAGGTGAAGGCGAAGGCGAGACGAGGTGAGCACACAGCACGCGCAGAAAGAGCGGGAGAGTGAACTGAGCATCAATAAGCAAAAACGTGAGCCTAAGTACATGCGACGCACGGGGCGAGTATGTAGACAGATCAATGTACAGTCCGAGACCCGAAAATGTACGAAATCGAGACCAAGAATGAAGGGGAAGTGGATACGAGAATACGAAATGTACGAGATGTAGAACAGGAGGACATACTAATCGTGCAAGAAGAGGAGGTGAATGAAGATGAGGAAATGGACGAGGTCGGCGTACTGTAGAGGAGGTGGATCGGGTGCGTGCCGTGCCGGCCTCGGTTGTGCGTGAACTGCGGCGTGGTGTGTCCGTAGGCGTCGCGCCTGGCCTGGAATGCTGGAGCGTCGATATGGAATGCTCACGGACTGATCGCGATGGGTGCGCACGGCGGAGAGGTCGAGGTACGTGAGGACGAGCGAGGTCGAGGTGGACGGCGACGCGCGGGCGCTAGTGTAGTCGTGGTGCACCGTACAGCGGCGGTGCGTGCGTATCACCCCCTCCCTACTGAAACCTGAACCCTCCTGGGTTCAGCACAGCAAAGGGGAGCGACAGCAACGACCGGGTGTGATAGAGGCGCGGAAGTGGGGGAATAATAGTGATGGCGGAGTGCTGAGTACAGACGCGGGGACCGAGAATTTCAACGCGAACGTCGAAAGCAAAGCACGAAGCTATGCGCGAGGAAAAAATTGGGGAGTCGCCGGACACGAAGTCCGGGGATGGGAGAGCGTCTTGAACGCGGGGGGAAAAATGCACGAGAGAACGGTTCCGAGTCGGGAGTGCGCACCAGAAAAGTTCCCTCCCTACTGGGACCTGAACTCCGACTCGTCCTCCCCAACGTCATCTCCTTGATAACAATCCTCCTCCTCCACATCTCCGAAGTCGAGGTCTTCTTCATCCATGGGGTTGTCGTTGCCGAGGGAATCTGAGGCTTCCATCTCGCGGAGGCGTGCAGTTGAGACGTCGAGTGCGGAGTCGTTGAGCCACGGAGTGGCGATGGTGGTGCGAGCGAGGTAAGGAAGGACCCGGAAGGCGGCAATGGGGCGGTCGACGACGGCTCCGTCAGGTTCAGCAACGAGATACGCACCGCCGTGGTTACGCGCGAGGACGACGAAGGGTCCGAGGTATCGTGGGCGCATCTTCCGGTTGAGCGCCTTCTCGACGGCGGTATTGCGGACGAGGACGAAGTCGCCGCGCTTGAAATCGAAGTCGACGATGCCGGCGGCGTGATCGCGCTCGAGCTTGCGTGCAGCGGCGATTCGAGCAGCGAAGATGCTGGAGTGGATGCGGGCGAGGTCGTCTTGACGTCATGCGAGTGAGCGAGCACGCGAGGCGATAAGCTCTTCGGTCGACTGGAGCCCGGTCAGCGGCGGCGCGAGGTACGTAGCTTCGACGAAGTCGAGAGGGAGGACGGGATGGCAGCCGGTCGCGGCGAAGTAGGGTGAGCATCCGAGGCGTCGGCGTGTGGTGATGCGGTCGGCCCAAAGGACGTGCGGGACGAAGAGCGGCCACTTGGAGGCATCGCCGTCGGCAGCCTTGAAGAGGGCTTGCTGGACGTCGAAGTGTGGTCGTTCCACGATGCCGTTTGCGCGCGAATTGTAGCCCGAAATGCGGACGTGCCGGACGCCGTACTTGTTGCTGAGGTGCGTGAGTGCGGCGATCCAAGGCGTACCATTGTCCGTGACAATCTCCGCGAGAGCGCCCCACCTGCAGAGGATGTCTTGAAACAGCCAGTCCGCGATGGCGCTGCCAAGTTCGCGGCGGAGGGCGCGGCCTTCAGCGAAGCCCGTAAGTGCGCAGCGAGCGTGGACGAAGTACTTGAAGCCGCGCGCCGGGGGAAGGTGCATAGCGTCGGCGTGAACGCGAAGAAAGGGGGCAGCGGGGGGACGCGGAATGGTCGGCGGAGGGAGGACTTGCCGCAGCTGTCGTGTCTGACAGATATGGCACGTCTTGACGAACCACGCAACGTCGGCTTGCATGCGAGGCCACCAAAAGCGCAGGACAACGAGTGCGGTGGTCCAGGTGTGGTTTCCACTGTTGTATTACAATTCCCCACGTATCTGGCGCAACCGTTTTGCAGACCCTGCCCAGGTTGTTGTTGTAATACTTGCAACTCAGTTTAAACACAGGGCTATAACAGCAAGTATCTAGCGCTGTTAACGACAAAGGGAGAAATAACAAGCCCTCTCTGATGATTGTCATCGTCAATGGGCAATGTGACAACAGTCACAGAAGGTAGTAACAGTTGTCTCTTACTAATACAACAGCGCTCTTCAGCTGTATAAATGGTTGTTGTTATGACAGGGAAACTTAGTTGCTGTTATAACTATTGTTGTTATGACAGGGAACCTCGCTGGCTGTATAAACGGTTGTTGTTATGATAAGGAAACTTGGTCGTTGTATAAACAGACGTTGTTATGACAGGGAACCTCATTTGTTGTATAAACAGTCGTTGTTATAACAGAGAAACTTGGTCGCTGTTATAACTATTGTTGTTATAACAAGGAACCTTGCTGGCTGTATAAACAGTCGTTGTTATGACAAAAAAACTCGGTTGTTGTATAAAGGGTCATTGTTATAACAGGAACCCTTTGTCGCTATTTCAACTATCATCGTTGTTATAACAGGAACCCTTGGTCACTGTATAAATGGTCGTCGTTATGACAAGGAACCTTGTTTGCTGTTATAACTATCATTGTTATGACAGGGAACCTCATTGGTTGTATAAATGGTCGCTGGTTCACTGTTGTAACAATCATCGTTATAACAGGGGATGTTGTTGGCTGTCATTACCACAACCTAGTCAGCTATTAATAGCTTTATCTGATACCAGCTATTTCCCCCTATTCCAGCTACCTGGACCAGTCCAAATACATCCCTTTAACTATATTCACCTGCAGCTACCTATTGACCCCAATTCCAGCCCAGTATACCTGCCAGAGTGCCCACCAGTAGTGGTGCCTATGCGGGGCTATTAATACTGACACAGATAAAGCTATTAATAGCTGACTAGGTTGTGGTAATGACAGCCAACAACATCCCCTGTTATAACGATGATTGTTACAACAGTGAACCAGCGACCATTTATACAACCAATGAGGTTCCCTGTCATAACAATGATAGTTATAACAGCAAACAAGGTTCCTTGTCATAACGACGACCATTTATACAATGACCAAGGGTTCCTGTTATAACAACGATGATAGTTGAAATAGCGACAAAGGGTTCCTGTTATAACAATGACCCTTTATACAACAACCGAGTTTTTTTGTCATAACAACGACTGTTTATACAGCCAGCAAGGTTCCTTGTTATAACAACAATAGTTATAACAGCGACCAAGTTTCTCTGTTATAACAACGACCATTTATACAGCCAGCGAGGTTCCTTGTCATAACAACAACAATTACAACAGCGACCAAGTTTCCCTGTCATAACAATGACTGTTTATACAACAAATGAGGTTCCCTGTCATAACAACGTCTGTTTATACAACGACCAAGTTTCCTTATCATAACAACAACCGTTTATACAGCCAGCGAGGTTCCCTGTCATAACAACAATAGTTATAACAGCAACTAAGTTTCCCTGTCATAACAACAACCATTTATACAGCTGAAGAGTGTCGTGGAACGGACTCTGGACTCGCCCTACGTATTATTTTTCGTCTTTTCTTTGCCTTTTCTCTGCCTGCTACTATATTGGAAGGTTGTTCCCGCGCTTAAGCGCCCGTATCGCGG